CAAAACAAGTTGTTGAATATTACACCGAAACTGCTGCAACCAAGTCAATCCATCGGTTGTGTAATATCACATTGTACGATGTACATCGATTTTGCGAACAAAAATACATCCATTGATGTAATATTGCATCTGCTTTTTGCTATTACATCATTATTTCATACATCAGCTTGAATTACGTTGATCGATATTACATTTTTTTTGCTGTGTTGTAGAACACTTAAGGACTACTCAATAGGCGAATCCAATGTAAACTAAGCGATTGTTTCAGTCTCTGGCGGTGAATAGGGGAACTCTCAAAAGAGTGATGAGAGTGGAAATTTTCACCGTGAAGCATAAGAAGAGGAAAATATTTTCACCTTTCCTCATCAATTTATCCACCGCAGGTACTTGAAATCATCATCTACGTGGAATGTTTTGTTTTCTGTATCGGGTTTGCAGTGATCCGACTGGTGCTTCCATATATTTTTGATGAGAAAAATTAAGATTTATAAAATTGTTCCAGCGGTTATGATCTTCCGGAATTTTAATGTATGGTTATTTCAGCTATATTTCAGTTCAGGTCTGTAGATAATCGAAAAATAAGACCACTCCCGATGGAAATTTTCAAGTTGTGCAATACAATGTACATTGTTTTGAGTTTTGAAAATCGTCATAATGATGTAAACAAATGGATTCGATGACATCTCCTTTCAAAATCGGCTAGCGCACTCTACATTGATGGCGCATGAAAAGAGTCTATAGACATACCATATAGGAAAAATAATTTCTGTGTAGATTTTTAGGTTGATACATAGATTTCATCTTTTCTACCACTGTAGCAGCAACCAGATTTAAATAAAATCGAAGACAACGAATCAAGAAGACTGGCAACTCTTCCATTTTCTCATACGAACGCTATGAGACAGGTTCAATTACGTCATCTGCCGTTCAAAGGTAAACGCTTCGAACGAATTTGATAGCAAAGATTACATCCTCAGAAGAAGGGTTTGTGTATTTGTTAATACACTGTCACTCAAGTGCAGCGCCATTGTATCTGTCGCTTGCTTTCTGGCAAATTTTCCAGTCTTCTTGATTTGTTGTCTTCGATAAAATGCTCCACTTGCAAAATAAAAGCATTTTAATGTCTTGTTCAGACTGGAGAGTTATAACAAGTTATAACGGTTGTCAAATAATTGCAACACATAAACCACCATCCAGATAGCGCTATAACATGTTATAACTTTGTACTATAAGATTGCACTCGTATACCTCCGCGTGGAAAATTTTGAAACCATCATCACTTTCATTGTTCTTCTATTCTCCACGAGTGCCAACCAGGGCCCCACATAGTCACTTTCAATCGAAAAACGTCAAGTGACGATGAAGTTGCCAACCATCACTTTCAATTGAAAGTCATTCTGTCTCCTATTCGAGCAGATCCCCGTCAACATCAACATAACCACTTTCGATTAGTTTTCATGCTGTTTGTTTTGGCTTGACTCGTGTTCATTTCTTCTTTCATTGTCAAATGAACTTTTTTTTTGCATTGAAGCGAAGCTGTTCGATCCAAATTCACGCAGTTTTTATTACTTTTGTTGATTGTTCAATCGGTTCATTTAAGCGTATACGCATAGATCTGAGCACGTGGATGTCAAATTTAGCATTGTCCGGTGGTTTGTTTGCCCATCAATATGGGTATTTTTTTGAATCGGTGTGACGCATACTGCCCATAATCGCAAGTCAGTCCCATCTGTAAAAAACTGGAAATGAGAAAACGGCGTTCAAAGATTTTTCAAGTTTTTTGATTTGACACTTATTTTGGAGGGATAAATTTTAAAATATACGTACAATATGATAGAATGCATCTATGTTTACCCAAAAATATTGGAAAAATATCGTGAAATTTTTATTTTATTGCGAAAATCTGAGTGGGACTGACTTGCGATTACATTTAACGTAAATGAGAAAAATATCCGCAAGTCAGTCACAATTCCATGACGATGCTGCATTAGCTTAGCACAGTATTGAACAGTAAAAAGATACCATGGTCCCATAGGACGTTATTGAATGTTTCTGGATTTGTTCCGCTGGTTCCAGAGCAATGGCCGGAACATATTTCGGTGAGTATTGGCCTTCATCAGACCAGAGCCAAACGTGCCAAACCCACCATGCGATAAATCAATTCACAAGAGAATTCAAAAATAAGATAAATAAGAGTCATGATGAGTAACCAGCACCATGTTGGCCACACCCGGACATGTTCTGGGTATCTCCGGGGAAGTGGTAAATCCTTTTTAATTAAAATCCATCAAGCGATACATCAAATAACATGATAATTCAAAGCCATATCCATTGGCGGTCAAACTGAGTATCGTAAGAACTATAATGGCCACATCCAGACATGTTCGAGATACCCTAGGGGAAGTGGACAAAGTCTGTCTTGACACAAATCTCATGATGCGAAGTGTTGTCTAACATTTCTTATACATTTTTTTTCTAATGGGACTGACTTGCGGTTACTTTTCGCTGTGGGACAATTTCACTTGGTATTGTTTTTAATTTTTCTTGAACAAACCACATTTTTTCAATAGCACATCTCAAAAAACATATAATTATAAACTGAATAATGATGCTAACTCAAAATTGATAAAAATGCAGATGGGACGGACTTGCGATTACCGGCAGTATAGAGATCGAAAATTGATATGCGACGCCATTTTGAAATCCAAGATGGCGGCTTCCAGTTTAAGAAAAAGTGGGAAATGCTGTCAAATACTTATCAATAAAGGCATTTTTGGAATTGGGATGATGTCTAGAGGATAAAAATCGATATCCGACGCCATTTTGAAACCGAAGATGGCGGCTTCCGATTTACGAAAAGTGGTAAAACAGTCAAATACAAATCAATATTGGTATTTTCGTAATCAGTATGAAGTCTACAGATCGAAAATTGATATGCGACGTCATTTCTAAATCCAAGATGGCGGCATCCGATTTCAGAACAAGTGGGAAATATTGTCAAATACTTATCAATATAGGTATTTTTGGAATCGGGCTGGTGTCTAGAGGCAGGAAATCGATATCTGACGCCATTTTGAAATCCAGTATGGTGGCTTCCTATTTCAGAAAAATGGGAAATGCTGATGCCGTCCCATCATTATAGGTATTTTTGGAATCAGAGTGACGTCTGAAGATTGGAAATCAATATCCAACGCCATTTTGAAATCCATGGCTTCCGGTTTGAAAAAAAGTTGTAAATTCTCTCAAATACCCATATAACCGGTTTTTTTTAGAATCAGGGTAACGTCTAGAAGACGGTAATCCATATCAGACGCCATTTTGTGATCCAAGACGGCGGCATCCGATTTGTGGAAAAGTGTCAAATAGTCACTTAGTGTTTATTTTCAGAATGGGGATGAGACGTAGATACCGAAAATTGATGTCACGCCGTCTTTAAATCCAAGATGGCGACTTTGGTTCAGAAAAACTGTTAAATACTGTCAAATACCGATCAATGTGGGTTTTCTGAATCGGACTGACATCTAGAAGCCAGATTTCGATGTCCAACGCCATCTTGAAATTCAAGATGGTGGCTTCCGATTTCAGAAGAGGTGTCAAAAAGCCTACAAATGGCATCGAATATCGATTTTCAGCATTTACGCGTCGTCCCCGTTCCAAAAATACTCATATCACAAACAAACAGACATAGCACTCACAAGTTGTTTATCGAATAAGCATTTAACGGACAATTTATAAGTATCGTAGTTGGTAGCCCAAGCAACAATTTTTGTTTTATCGAACTTTTATAGCAGTTGATAAAGCCAAATTATAAAACTTTTACTGACGACCACATTGTTTTAACAACCTCCTGATGACCGCTATACAGCCATCTCATGGCCAATTGGCCCAGTTGTAATGCAACCATTAAAACTTGATATGCGAACCAGCTTAGGAGCATCGGTTTTATATCAGTTATATTATATACTTCACGTGATTGTAGAAAAGGTATGCTTTTTCCTGGCCAGAAAGTCAATCCAACCTCTTGAAGTCTACTATAAAGCTATGTTACAACTGCATAAATAGCTCCTGAAAAAGTTGATAAAACTTCATATGCAAAACATTTTGATGACTTTGATGGTTTTAATTTGGATTTATTTGGTTGATGGGTTGCATTGATTATAATTTTATTATGGTTTTATTCTTTTGATGTTCGATATATGAAATCATAATTAATGTCAATGTGTAAAACAATATATTCTAGCATATTGAAAATAAGACGGTTTAATTACCATTTTTAATCCACTTGAATACGTTTGAGATCATGCCGTTTATTATTTATGGTGAATATTATACTAAATAGTAGCATAAATTCACTGCGCCTCATATATATTAAAATATAGGAATATTTTTATTTCGATTACATTAGCACCGTATTTTGAAAAATCATTAAAATATATTCAATTTAAGAAAAAAAAAATGTTTCTGCCGTTGAACAATGACCAGACACATATTGTTGCATTATAAATAGTTGTATGACTGTGTTTTTTCCTATCCATCCAGGGAATGCTTCGTCATATTATGTAAAATTTTCTCCTACGGCGACATTTTTTTACTATATAACTTGTCGCTCCGCTGAAATGCCTCAATATGACACACTCTCCTAGGATAGAATTTTAAAGCATAACATAAAGCTAACTGTTATATCTTAGCATTTCCTAGTCTGTCTTGAGAGCGTTAAGTTTTATGTTGGTTGTATGGATTGCTTGCTGGTTATATTACGTATAGAATCAAAACAAAACAAACACATTAATTGACTTCCACTGCCGCTACCTAAGAGGAAGAGGAGACAAATGGCTTTTTTTTGTCTGTGACGGTTTCTTCTTCTCTCGCGGAAAAGACCGTGCAAAAACTATTTAATTATGGGCGACGCAGTCGACTTTCAAAATACAAGAAAATAGATGCCCTGTTGTAAAAATTATCGCCCGACCAATCAGGCACTGGTTCGCGATTTACAAAAAAAATATGGTTCATAAAAGGCCCCCTATTGTCTCCTCTTCATCTTAGGCCGCTACCATTCTGCTTTAATCACAGCAACCATCGGTTTGATTGTAAGCAAAACAAAAGGGAAACCAGCTCTCAAATCAAGTAAGTTTTTCAAATTAATTTGTGCCATTATTATCTAACATTAATATTTGTAATTCACAGCATGCCCTTCAAGATTGTTCAAACATTCGAAGACGGTGAGCAGTGCCTCAGTGTTGTCCCTTCGGGCTGGGAGAAAGAGAATAAATTATGGTGGCCAAAGGCAACAAGTGCTGCTAAATTGCTGCGTGATGAACATTCGCGTCCCACGTCCAAATGGCAACGGATGGAGTGCACCAAGAAGCGAGAATACCGCACCAGGCTGGAGGCAGAAGCAGAACTTGAAAAGATGGAACCGCTTTCCGATACCGAGGCAGAAGAGAGGATTATGGTTCCTGCCAAAAAGACACGCAAAAACGGTGTCTCAAATTCGAGCGTAACAAAACATGTGCCGAAAAACTTCAACGACTTCCTCACGCCTGCTAATCCTAATGTCCCGCTTGAAATCCAAACGGATTACCTTCAACCAGTGCAAGACGAAGTTCAAGACTCTTCGGTAAGTTAAACTAAAATATGTGATTTATTCTCAATTTATCTAATCGTAAATTTCCTTTTAGGTTACTTTGCAGCTGTCCGATGGAGCCATGCAGAATTTTGTATACGTACCGCAAATTGAACAAGATCCTGGAGAAAATACAAGTGGAGGCAGAGTTTTGATTCAGTCGATCGACAACAACATCAGCTATCAGTCAGTATCATTGGAGGACGTTGTATCGAACCAAACATTGATTATTGGTAATCAGGCAAAAATAATCAACAGCCTCGCTCAATTGAAAGCCAGCATGGATTACATCAATGATAGGGTCCTGCAAATCGAATCAGGCTCTCTTGGAAACGCCACAGGAGTCCATTCAGATGTATTGTTGAAACCTATTGAATCACTGGAAATGCTGAATGAATTGGAGAAGAGTTTGAATGATGACACCGTCATGGTCAAATACGTCAAGACCATGAGCCACATTTGTGGTAAAACCGGAAAAGAGGATGGCCTTGACTGCTGTTATCGATTAATTGATCATTTTATGACTCGACAGTTTCTAACGACCTGTTCATTGACAGGGATCTCGAGAGACAATGCTGCTGCTGAAGAGTCAAATGGAGAGTCTGAGCCGCAGATTAAAGTTCCGTTTATGATGTACAAGAAAATTCGACAGCTGTTTTTGAAGCTGGTCCTGCAGGCAGATAACGACTTCACAGCTATCAAATGTGAAGAGTTTTTTAAACGGGTACTGAAAAACAGCAAGCAAAGATTGCTAGCTAAAACAGTATCCAAGCATAAGAATCGTCCGAAAAATTTAGTGTATAATGCCCGTCAACAGCAAGCTGAACAGAATCCTCAATAATAGGGTAAATACACCAGTTATGGTTATACGTTCCTATTAAGGGTTTGTTCCAGTTATAGCCTGTGGAAATCCTATAGGCCATGACAGGAACACACCATGATAGGCACGTATAGCCGTAACTGGCACATCTACCTATGTATTTAATGGACCTGATTGGAGATGTGGTAGCAGATTTTTTCATCTGTAATGTTTTATCGATTAAAATAAATTTGACTCGTTCTTGGTTTTATTCTTTATTTTTTCTCTAATGAAAGACTTGTTCACAAAGTATGCAGCAGTGGGAAAAAACAGAATCAGTATCATTAAGGGGAATACAGACCATTTTACATTTAACTTTTGAAAGATCATGCGGTTTTACAGAACTGGATTTACAATCAGATTGATAGATATTAAGTACATTTGATCGTATCGGTGTCTCGAAAAAGGATTTTAAGCGATTTAAGCTAGAACCTGTTATTTCAACTAATCCATGCTGTTCAGTTATACACTTCAAAGCTACTATATGATTATCAGTTGTTAAGAACCATTTATTATTGTGATCGGTGCTCAACGAAAAATTTTCCAATTGTATTTTAGAGAATATTCTGGGGTTGCCTGAAGAATTTGCTTGACTTCGATCATTGTTTGCCGATTGCGAAAAGATCTCGTTTTTTAAAACTGGTTGGTTAGATTTAGGAGTTAAATTGGCGTTTTTGGTAACATGATTCAACTCACTCAGGCGTTTAGCGATCTGTATTAACGGTTTACTACCGGTTCGAATCAGGTTTTTGATCTCAAACAGCTTACTTTCAAAAGGATAAGCGTTGAATTTATGCAATGGACCGAATCGCTTCACGTCATCGACCAAATGTATGAGGTTATGAACATTGCTCGTTATATAAAGGGTGTCCACGACGAAATTGCCACACACAAAATTGATTCGCAAAATTCGAGTTTTCATCCGATTGCCATCAAATTTTCAGGGATTGAGAAATAACTATTAAACTTCATTTTACCATTTTACTCGTATTTTATTTACAGTCCATACGCAAATGCCCGCACCTTGGCCTTAACCCCGGCCATAAGATTCTGCACAACCTGTGAATCAACCGTTTTTTGCATGTAAACCCATACTTTCTTCAGTTCCTCGACTGTCTTCACTACCTTAGGTCGTTTAAGAAGGTGCTGCTTCATAATCGCCCAGTACTTCTCGATGGGGCGGAGCTCCGGAGTGTTGGGAGGGTTGAAAATTTTCGGCACGAAATTGACCTTATTGTCCGCATACCACTTCAGCACGTCCTTGGAGTAGTGGCATGAGGCCAAGAGGCCAAATCCGGCCAGAAGATTGTTGGGACGTTGTGGGCCTTCAGGAGAGGAAGCAGCCGCTTCTGGAGGCACTCTTTTATGTACACCTGTCCGTTCATCGTGTCCTGGGTCACGAAAGGTGCACTCCGCTTCCCGCACGTGCAGATGGCTTGCCAAACCAGGAATTTCTTCGCAAATTTGGACATCTTCTGAGTGCGGACATGCTCCGGAACGCTGAACTTATCCTTGGCCGTGAAAAACAGGTTGCCGGGGATCTGTTTGAAGTCGGCCTTCACATATGTTTCTTCGTCCATGATGCAGCATTCAACTTTCGTCAGCATGTTGAGGTACAACTTCCTGGCACGGGTTTTGGCGGACTGATTCTGCTTTTCGTCGCGATTAGGGGCCTTTTGTACCTTGAACGTTCGAAGCCCAGCCTTAGTTTTGGCCTTCTGGACAAAACTTTGGCTTAGGTGCAGCTTCTTAGCCACATCCCTAACGGAGGCGTTCGGATTTCGGTTAAAGGCCCCAACTACGCGGTTGTGATTTTTGGTGTTGTACGGAATACTTTTTCCTTCACTTCTGGGCTTCCGATCGGTGGTCAACCGTTCCTCGAACCGCTTAATCACTCGCGACACCGTGGAATTCGCGATTCCCAACGTTTTAGCGATGGAACGATGCGAGAGATCCTTGTTCTCGTGATGAATGCGCAAGATTTTATCACGCACGAGCTGTTCTTTCGACTCCATTTCCGCGAGTTTTGATCACAGGACTTTAAAACTTGCAGGATGTAAATAATGCACTATGAACTAAATCCACCCAAATTTTCATTAGATTTTACCCAACGGTTAAAAAGTTAGAGCAATTTCATAGTGTGGCAATTTCATCGTGGACACCCTTTAATCTTCACCGTACACATTTTTAAACAGTTCAATAAAGTGTGCTAACAACAGGTGTCCTAAATCAAGCATTGAAGAATACACCTCTGACGAACAAATGGTGATTGCACAAACACTAGAAAATGTTCATATACATCCGGTGGCAGTACAGGTTTAAGGATGACAATAGAAACATAAAGCAAGAATGTACGAAATTCCAGACCTTTCCAATGAGAAAGACAATCCAAACCACGAATCGATCGGTGTATCTCTACAGGCATCCGAAGCTGCAACAGTTTTTTAGATATCTCGGCTGTTACTTGAGCTGGCCACTTCGTTCTATAAGTGCCAACTTTTCCATCTCGCCATCCAAGTAGTAATTTCTTCATAATGCCAAGGTCAATTAGGTGAAGCGAATCCCCTATTGCGAAATCCTTGACCATGTCTATTGGAAGCCTCAGCAACGGTGAGTCGTTTTTGTGATGAGTTCCATAGATTTTATTTCGAAATCCGACATCAGTTCGCTTTGGACAATCGGTCTGGGGATAATAATTTGTATGTGATACGTACGAATATTCTCCTTGCGTACAACACTTTTGGCATCCATTCTGAGCATTGAAATTCGCTACTCCTGAATAAAAATAAAATAAAAATTTAATGCTATGTTCATATACCAAGTGTAATATTACCTACCCTTTACAAAGGCTCTAGCCGGTGAATCGCATACGATACATCGAATAGTTATGGTAATTTTGTGTCCATTGACCAATAAACCTTTTTCACAAACGTCCTTCATTTCTTCAACAAACGGGTTCAGGAATGCTGTTTAAATCCGTTGGTTTGTGTTTTCCACTGTAGATCCCTATAACCATAGGTTTGATATAGGGATGTTCAACGATATTGAAAAGGATGGGCCAAAACTCGTCCTTAGAACTCTTGTAGACAGGTAGACCGTCCATATTTATCTTTATGGAAATGCTTATTGGCTCCACTATTCCACTAAAAACTTTTTCAATGCATGGTTTAAAGCCGTGATGCCAATACTGGCCATCTCCAACCGGAATCAGTGAAACTGCCTGCGTAGTTTTAAGAAGGGTTCGTGGATCTTGCGGAAGCGTATCGGAAAGCCACTTATTTAATATTTTTAGGAGCTCTTTCACTGCACTGTGCCTTATGTTGTGTGCGAGAGCCCACAACTGTAGATCCTCCAGCAGTTCCACATTAGCAATCGTCTCTTCCTCCTCATACTCAGAAGCACTGAAAAGGTTTTCATCTGTCAAATCTAAATCAATTTGATTATGTGCGTCGACATAAGTGCCAACATCATTCCTGGTATCGAATTTTTCCAGTATTGTATTTTCAGCATCCGGAACAACTGGATTTGATGGCGTTGCATCCATAGCTTGATGTTCATTTATTATGATGCTGTTCTGCGTCGACGAATCCATTATTTTTCGAAAATGCATCTTCACTTTTCTTCTAAACGTTCCACTCGATTTATATAATTTCCACGCACTCATAATGAAATTTAAGGTTATTTGTAACGATTTATAGAGTATTTTTTGTTATTGTTATGATGTTTTACCTATCTGTAAATCTTAGGCCTCTGATAAGAATGATAGTTTTATAGTGGTTATAATGAAGTATAATTAGTGCTTTAAGTTTTATAATGGTCATGAAAAAATATGTTACAAATCTTAGTTGCATGTTTTATTCTTCAGTTTTAAAGAGGAATACAGAACCACCTTACAGCCATAGTTAAAACTATAAAGGCTGAGTTTTAATTTGGTAGTTATAAAATAGTTTCAAAAACTTCTTAAATGCTTAATTTTAAGGCCGCCACATAAAACCATCATACAACCATAGGCTGCCAGTGATGCTATGATAAAACAATAATAAAATAAGAATAAATCTTTCAAGCATTTTGATTGTTACTTGGGAGTACCGCCACCTGTGGTGTGCATAGTCACTTCCCTTGCGTTTTACGTTTATACACTACCGCCATATGTTGAGCGTAGTGCCCACCACAGTGTACTCAACAGATGGTAATGTTTTAACGACGATGTTTTACTGTGCCCAGAAAGTGTCAAATACCCTACTAATTTGACACTTTCTGAACCCTGATGGCCATCATCTTGGATTCCAAAATGGCGCTAATATCGATTTTCGGCATCTACGCGTCGTCCCCGTTGCGAAAATACCCATATTGTAGGATATTTGACACTTTCTGAATCCTGATGGCCGCCATATTGGATTCCAACAAAGCGTTGGATATCTATTTTTGGCATCTACGCGTTGTTCCCGTTCCGAAAATACCCATATCTTAGGGTATTTAACACTACATAAAATCAATGGCCACTATTTATCTTGAACTCCAAAATGGCGTCGAGTATCGATTTTCAGCGTCTACGCGGCATCCCCGTTCCGAAAATACCCTATTGTAGGGTATTTGAGATTTTCTCTGACTCCGATGGTCGCCAACTTGGAGTCCAGAATGGCATGGCTAGTTAAATTTTCGTTGAATATAAAATAATATATTATTACTATATATAATCCGGATGCCATCGGCAACCGATTTGTGCGGATACTATCCGGATACTATATTTTGATGCCTGCGTCGTCAGGTCGTGACAAGTCAAATGAGACCCGAATAGAAGTGAAAGTGGAAAAAAAAACGAAGGAAGCAGTTTTCGAGTCATTCATTGCGTCAATTGAAATAAGTCTTTGCTTCAAATGAAATGAACTGAAGCACTTGGCGAACGAGACAAGCGATAGTCCAGTCATGCTTGAAAAGAAGAATTATCATCGTGACTCCATAACAAGAAACACGATGACTTACACGAAAATGATATTGCTCAAAATGAAGCGATTCTGCCGAGAGTTCATTTTCTTTTCTTTGT